ACCTTATAGTGCGTGCTGAGATGACAAGTGAGACAAAGTGACAAGAGTATATTATATCATATTATATTATATTATATTAAACTACGCGGCCACGTGGATTAATGTGACAGGTGGAGGCACAGGCCGGAGGGACGAGATGGAACCCAACGCAAGAGCAGATAACAATACTAGAAATGTTGTACAGAGGTGGAATGAGAACACCGAACGCGCAGCAAATCGAGCAGATATCCGTCCAGCTGGCCAAATACGGCAAAATCGAAGGCAAAAACGTGTTTTACTGGTTCCAAAACCACAAAGCTCGCGAGAGGCAAAAGCAGAAGCGCATCACCACCACTACTATTTTCAACACTACCCCTGATTCATCACCATCTCCTCCTCCATTTATTATTAGTTCATGCCAATTAATATCCTCTTCGCCGGTAATTTAATTTCAGACCGACCGAAGTTAATAATCTTCTACAACATATGTCACACTTTTTTAATGGAAGCTGATAATATTCTACTGTGTGTTGCAGGAGGAATTTGAGTACTGTACACCGTACAAAAGAAAATGGAGATCATGGGGGTTTGATCAAGAAGAAGAACAAGTGGAAGATAGGACCCTCAACCTCTTCCCTTTGCATCCTGAAGGAATAAAGTTTATGGATTAATTAATTTAATTTTGGAATTATTAATATTCATTTAAATAATTAATGTTTTTCATCTGTATGTATATGTAGTTGGCGCTTCGTTACGTAATTTGTTGCTTCGTTCATTTTTCTTTCTTTACTTTCATTCGAGAAAAAGGAAGAACAACAAGTTGGTTGTACGTACGCGCCATTTTTAATAATTATAATTAATTGCGTTTTCGGGGTTAATGCATATATATGACAATTGACAAGTACTAATGTATACACATAGAAACAAGCATACAAGCTAAGTGAAGTATTAAAATTAAAACCATCAATTACTGTAATTAAGGTTGACAACGTAACGAAAGTCCATGTACCTAGTAAACATGACATCTTTCATCGCGGTGCGTTGTTGGTTTTTTTTTTTTTTTTTTTTTTTAAATCGGGGCACCTTCGGAGTTTTAGTAATAGAAATATTGAGATGGAGACATGCAATTTTGGTATATAATTGTTATTTAAATCCATGTAATAGTGGTTTGTGTAGGGTTCGGAATATATATATATATATATATATATATAGGTAAAGATCTATCTATTTTGTTTTTGTCGGCAGCCTCTGGAGTGGGCAATGAATTTGAATTAGTAGAGGCGGTACAAAAATAAAATCAAACATTAAAGGAGAAGCAAAATGGCCCATGGAAGTTGGGCTAACCAAAAAAGCCCCTTATTTCAAATAGCCCATAACTATTGGGCTACCAATTCTTTTCTTTCTTTTTATCCTTTTTCTGATCAAGTTCGAGTTAGTGTCGAACTTCATAGATTATCGAACTGATATTCACGTGCAAATTTGGTTCAGTATAGTAACGAATAGAGTTTGAATGAGCTTTTCCGATCGAACTCAAATCGACTATTGAATAGTTTGGTTTGATTTCCCACCCAACTAGTGATAACTTAATTCATTAGTTGGGCCGCCTATTTTTATGGTCAAGAAATTTACTTGGGCCTTGAAACGTGCTGATCCATAAGCCCCAATTTTATTCCATAGTTTATTACATAATAATATCAACTTTGTGTAGCATCATATTTCTGTACAAAAAAAATAAAAAAAATATATATAATCATTAGATTCTATTCATCACATTAATGTTTTGTTTGAACATAATATTCACTATATTTGTTTTTTGGAAAATTCAGCTGTTAACTTTTTCCTATAAGTATATTTATGTGTTTGCATAAGAGCATCCCACTTTTGGGATGCTATCTGCTAAAAATAAATGATTATACCATTTATGAACGAAAAACTGAACTCCAACAGGAAGGCTAAATTTTAGCTGGTCAGCTAAAATTAATTGTCCAGCTGCTATATATACCAGCTCCTGTTCACATCAGCTAAATGAAAAAATAATAAAATAATAACTAAAGCAGTGGGAGAAAAGGAAACTTCCAAGTATAAAAATTAATTTTGGTTTGTAGAAGAAATGAAACTTCCAGTTACCACGTGCCACATATTTATTCTCAATATATGCTTATAATATTTTATTACCGATATTTAATTTAGAAATTAATTAATTAAATAATTTTTATTTATATTGAGCATTTGACATTATAACTTTCTGATATCTATTTATGATTACTTATTTGGCAGATATAATTTATAAATACCTATTATAATAGAAAAATTGAGAAGTAATTAAATATAATAAATGGTATAAATATAGGTGGTATGATTGGAGTGCAAAATTAAAATTCACTTGCTAAAACACTGTTCCCCACCAATAATAGATATACCATTCGTGTTTTTACCTCACAAGGTTGGAGATGCCCTAAGTTGTAACTTGTATGTAGCACGGACACAGTAATGGTGATACATGGAAATAAACACCGGGGACAATATGTTTAAAAAAAAAAAAGGGTTACAAGAATTTGAACTTGGGTAAATATGTCAATTTTTACTATTCAAACATATTTTTAACTTTTTAGAAATTGCAAAATAACCGATAGGGTGTGTCCGGCGAATATCCCCAAATATCCGACACGAAATTTATATGAGACACGAAACACAAAAAAATTAAAGTTTTCGTACTAAAAAGTTTTCGTACTACGTAGTATAGGTTAAACTTATTTATTTCAAGTGGACAATTAAATCCTAAACCTATTTAATATATAGTCCACAAATATGCATCCAAGACACTTGGATCTCAATTAAACTACTACATACAATTATTATATTATCAATTTATCATAAAACTGTTTTTTTTATTTAAATAAAAAATTAACAGGTATTGAATAAAAATAATAATAAAATAAAATAAAGTATTTTTTAATTATACGGCACGCAATCCTTCTCTAAATCTAACTCCGACGTGGCACTGCACCAGGACTCCTTGCCACACCACACGTGTATTCATCTGTATTATGCCATAAGCCCGACAATCCAATCCGACGGCCACGATTTCATCTTCTATTCCAGACTTAGGGTTTCCTGTCATATATATGTCACCACACTTCTCTCTCTTACCCGAGCGCGGTGCAGTCTTCTCTGCCCTCCCAGTTATCAAAAAAACAAAAAAACCTCCCAAAAAAAAAAAGGAAAAAGAAAAAACCCTAAAAAAAATAAAAATTCAATCTTTAGATTTCCCCTTTTCGTTTATAAACCATAAGTTTTAGTCATAACTTTCCTTTTAATCCACATTCTCCACCGAAAAATCCGAATATCCTGCCCCCATTGTTCGTAACTCTGTTAATTAACCCCCCCCAGAGAGAGTCAATAACAAGGAGGAGGACTAAATCTCCCTCGGAAAACAACAATCCTTCCGAAATTAGAACTAATGGCGCAGACTCAGGCGGTGCAGCAGAATTTGTCGGCGGCGGCGACTGGCGGAGCGAATGGGGCGGCGGGAGGACAGTTTCTGTCGACGTCTCTGTACGTGGGCGATTTGGATTTCAATGTGACGGACTCCCAATTGTACGATCTGTTCAATCAGGTCGCCCAGGTTGTCTCTGTTAGGGTTTGCAGAGACCTCAGCACTCGCCGCAGCCTGGGTTATGGTTATGTCAACTACAGCAACCCCCAGGATGGTTAGTATTCTCTACTTTTTTTTCTCTTCTTGAGTTATTTCAGATTTTGTCACCTTAGAAATCTATCGTTACTTGATGATTTGTGTTTGCATGTGTTTTAATTTGTGATGCATCTCGTTAATCTGTGTTTATCTGGTGTTTTTGATATCATGCGGTACGAAAAGTTTTTTTTTTTTTTTTTTCTTTTTTTATATATATATATATATATATTTATATAAAAAAATTCTTATTAAAAGTGATATTTTGATATATGATTGTGAATGTTTGTATCCCTTTAAGTTAATTACACGAATTAAATCATTGTAATGATTAAAAAAATAAATCTTTTACCCGTCGTATTGATTGGGATTACAGCTGCAAGGGCTTTGGAATCGTTGAACTTTGCTCTACTTGGCAACAAGAATATCCGAGTGATGTACTCGCATCGGGACCCAAGCATCCGAAAGAGTGGAACTGCAAATATCTTCATTAAGGTAATTGTCCATTGCCATGTTGACATTAGTTTCTTGATTTATCCGATGTGTTTAACCCATTCTTATTTGTTTTTCTTTGTAGTGTTTTATGCCTTGTGTAGTTATGTAATGCTGAAATTTCTTTTGCAGAATTTGGACAAAGGAATTGATAACAAGTTACTGCACGACACCTTTTCAACCTTTGGGAACATCCTCTCGTGCAAGATTGCGACAGATGGCAATGGCCAATCGAAGGGCTACGGATTCGTACAGTTTGATAGTGAAGAAGGCGCACAAAAGGCCATAGATAAGTTAAACGGCATGCTTTTGAACGACAAGCAAGTGTTTGTTGGTCATTTCCTCCGTAAGCAGGAGCGAGATATTGCGTTTGGCAAGACAAAGTTCAACAATGTATTTGTGAAAAATCTTGCCGAGTCTACTACAGATGACGACTTGAAGACAATTTTCGGCGAATATGGTGCAATCACTAGCTCTGTGGTGATGAGGGATTCCGATGGAAAGTCGAGATGTTTCGGATTTGTGAATTTCGAAAATGCTGATGATGCTGCTAAAGCTGTTGAAGCTCTCAACGGGAGGAAATCTGACGACAAGGAGTGGTATGTTGGGAAAGCCCAAAAGAAGTACGAGAGGGAGCAAGAACTGAAGAGTCGATTTGAGCAGACCGCTAGGGAAGCCGTCGACAAATTTCAAGGGGTTAATTTATATATTAAAAACTTGGATGATAGCATCGATGACGAAAAGCTGAAAGAGATGTTTTCAGAGTTTGGTACTATCACTTCTTGCAAGGTAGAGATGTTTGGACTTAAATTTATTGCTATTTTTCCGTCATCAAATAGTTAGCTTTCGGCTGATTTATGTCTTGGGATTGTAGGTTATGCGGGATCCGAGCGGGATAAGCCGAGGGTCTGGATTCGTTGCATTTTCGTCTCAAGAAGAAGCTTCTAGAGCAGTGAGTTGTTATCTAACAGCAATTTTTTTTACGTCATTTCCTGGATTTATGTATGAGCTGATTACAAACTATTCGGTTTTCACCTTTTTTTAGCTTACCGATATGAACGGGAAGATGGTGATTAGCAAGCCACTGTATGTTGCGGTTGCACAGCGTAAAGAAGATAGAAGAGCAAGGTTACAGGTACAATACGTCTTGTGAAATACACTGTAGATGAAATCTGAAACAGGTTTCCTCGTTAATTTCATTTACCCCGTTTTACAGCCAGGTCGTAATTACTGCAATAGTTTCGGCTATTTTATTTATTGCCGTCTGAACCCCGGAATGCTATTAAGAAAAAAATAAGATTGTAACAAGTTGCGCAAATTATCTGAATTGCAGGCCCAGTTTTCACAGATGAGGCCTGTTGCAATTCCACCGTCGATTGCTCCTCGTATGCCGATGTACCCTCCCGGTGCTCCTGCTATGGGTCAACAGCTGTTTTACGGTCAAGGTCCTGCCATGATTCCTCCTCAGGTAAACAGTTGCTCTCTCGACTTCACTCCGCTCTCGATTCGAGTAGTTCAGTTTATGCTGCTTGAACAAAAATACTTTTTACGTTCTGTAATAATAATACTTTTGAAAATTTTCCAGGCTGGATTTGGTTATCAGCAGCAGCTTGTTCCCGGAATGCGCCCTGGAGGTGCACCAATGCCGAATTTCTTTATGCCGATGGTCCAGCAAGGCCAGCAGGGCCCACGTCCAGGTGGCAGACGAGGACCTGGCCCCATGCAACAAACTCAGCAGCCTGTACCGCTCATGCAGCAACAAGTCAGTTGTTTCTATTTTGCACATTTTTTTTCCTCGTAAACGTTTAGTTAAAATCATGCTGAATATGATTTGTTATTAATTTGCAGATGGTACCAAGGGGTAGAATGTACCGTTACCCTACAGGTCGAGACGGGCCCATGCCAGGTGTCGGTGGAGGAATGCTTTCCGTACCATACGACATGGGCGGCATGCTTCCTCGCGACTCTGCTCCTATTCAACCGCAACAGCCTATGCCAATCACCGCTCTCGCAACAGCACTTGCTAACGCAACTCCCGAACAACAGAGGATTGTAAGCATTACTATTCATTATTATTCCGACTAATATAAAATTGCGTAATTCGTTTTCTTTGAATAATTTTCAATTTTTTTTGCGGGTAGATGCTGGGGGAAAACTTGTACCCACTGGTTGACCAGCTGGAGCACGAGCATGCAGCGAAAGTGACGGGGATGCTTCTGGAGATGGACCAGACGGAGGTTCTGCATTTGCTGGAATCGCCCGACGCGTTGAAAGCTAAGGTTAACGAAGCTATGGATGTTCTTAAGAATGTTCAGCAGCAGGCTAGTAGCCCTTCCGACCAACTTGCTTCTCTCTCACTCAATGAGAATCTTGTTTCTTGAAGCTGTCTCTCTCTCTCTTGAGTGTTTTAAGTGATTACAGATTTGGCTCTGCCCATCCGAGTCAACTCAACTCGTTTTGCTAGTGAGGGTACTAAATTTTGGTTGATTTTTTTTTTTGACTTTTAGGTTTTTGAATTTGACTTTTCTTTTTTGGTTTCCAAATACTTTCATTTATTTATTTATTTATTTTGAAAATGGTATTCATGTTTGTTTATTTTAATTAATGCTTATTGTTGGGGAACTTGGACATCATGTTCTTAAATTTCAAACAACACTTGACATAGTAATTAAAGTGGGATATACTTTGGAATAGTATTAATAAAATTATAAAAAAAATGATTTTGTACGAATAGAAAATATGACCAATGAATTATGACATCTCAATTAAAAGTAATCTAATCAAAGATTAAAAAAGAAAAAGAAAAAAAAAGAGATTTTCATATAATTATTAATTTATTATTAATATAATTATATACTACAACAACATCTTTCTCTAAATTTGTCTACGTAATACACAACTCATTCTCATGCCCCACGTGTGTACATCTCGTGTTTCAATAGGATCGAGACTCCGATTTAACGGCCACGATTTCACCTCTTTCCAGCTAGGGTTTCCTGCATCATATAAATTGCTGCACAGTTCACCTTCTTCCCCGAGTGCGGTGCAGTACTCTGCCCTCCCAAAGGAAAAAAAAAACCCCCAAAAATTTCTTCTCATTTTTCCATATCCTTTGATCTACCATTAATTTTATTCCCCGCTTTATCATTCATCTCTATCTTAAATTAAAACCCCAAAAAACAAACAAAAAAAGGAAAAAATCTAGTTCAAATGGCGCAGATGCAGGTGCAGCAACAGAATGTGGCGGCGGCTGGGCCCAACGGAGCGTCGGCTCCCGGTGGAGCGGCGTCTGGACAGTTTCTGTCGACGTCTCTGTATGTGGGTGACTTGGACTTCAGCGTGACGGACTCGCAGCTCTACGATACGTTCAATCAGGTCGGCCAGGTGGTCTCGGTTAGGGTTTGTCGAGATCTCAGCACTCGCCGCAGCCTTGGCTATGGTTACGTCAACTACAGCAACCCCCAGGATGGTCAGTGCATTTGTGTTGTCTCTAGATTTCTTACAAACTGCTGCTTTATTAGAATCCATCGTTGCCTGATATAAATTTGCGTTGTTTGTCAGTGTTGCATGTGATTAATTGTGAATTTTGTGATGCATTTGATGAATTAGTGGGTACATTGTGTTTTCAGATGCTTTGGTGCTGTTTACCTATAGCTGTATGGTGTAATTTATTGATGAAATAGCAAAATAGCCTCCTTTAAAGACAAATATTGTCCTTGTTGTATCCACTTGTAAATTGTTTTTGTCAAATTAATTGAACCACCCTAGCATTCTTTGGAGTTCTCTATATTCAGTTGTGGTGGTTAAGTTCGCCCTCGTCCCATGTTGGGCAAATAAACAAGCAGCTCAGAAGCATGATAAAAGGAAATAAAAATCCAAATTTCAGCCAAGAGTTAATGGATTTTTAAATATTGTCCCACAAAAATTAAAACTAATAGTTGGTAGTAGGAAGGCATAGATATACTTTTCACCTGAAAGATTACACTTTTCACCTTAAAGATTATAATTTTACCCCGTCTGATGCTTTTCCTATTACCTGGGCATTCAGCTGCAAGAGCTTTGGAAGCTTTGAACTTCACTCCGCTCAACAACAAGGTGATCCGAGTCATGTATTCTCATCGGGACCCAAGCATTCGGAAAAGTGGGACAGCAAATATATTTATCAAGGTGATTGTCTCTTTATTCTTGTTTCCATTCGTTTGATATACTCCCTTTCATGATTGCTGATCTCTTGTCATGGTCCCTTTCATATTTCATTCTAATAAAAAGTTGTTGACATGTTTCTTCTTTGCGAAATGGATGTTATATGATTAGAGCAAGAATTTTAGACTGAGATTGTTGGTTATTGTCTGCATGTTTATAGGATTGTGGACGGCTATTCATTTATTTGTCATCTTAATTTATAATTTATTTCTTGCACTTCAACCATGTCCATGATGATATAACACTCTTACTGAGGTGGAGTATAGATATCCAGCCAACTGCCGTATATCCCTGTGTTACATTACTTCTATCAGTGCACCTGGGATTTGTTGTTTGTTTCTTCAACCACTTCCACATGATATTCTTCTTGTAGTTATTTCCATCGACTGTTCCATGTCTATGCTTTGTGTAGTAATGTTCTGTGAAAATTTATTTTGCAGAATTTGGACAAAGGAATTGACAACAAGTCACTGCATGACACCTTCTCAACCTTTGGAAACATCCTCTCTTGCAAGATTGCAACAGATGCTAATGGCCAATCAAAGGGCTATGGATTTGTACAATTTGATAGCGAAGAAGGTGCACAAAAAGCCATAGATAAGTTAGATGGCATGCTTTTGAATGATAAGCAGGTGTATGTTGGGCATTTCCTCCGCAAGCAGGAGCGAGATACTGAATTTAACAAGACAAAGTTCAACAATGTCTTTGTGAAAAATCTTGCTGAGTCTACTACAGATGATGATTTGAAGACAGCTTTTGGTGAATATGGAACAATCACTAGTTCCGTGGTGATGAGGGATGCCGATGGGAAGTCCAGATGTTTTGGATTTGTCAATTTTGAGAACGTTGATGATGCTGCCAAAGCTGTTGAAGCTCTCAACGGGAAGAAAATTGATGATAAGGAGTGGTTTGTTGGGAAAGCCCAGAAGAAGTCTGAGAGAGAGCAAGAACTTAAAAGTAAATTTGAGCAAACTTCCAGGGAAGCTGTTGAAAAATTTCAAGGAGTTAATTTATATGTTAAGAACTTGGATGACGGCATTGATGATGAGAAGCTGAAAGAACTGTTCGCCGAGTTTGGTACCATCACATCATGCAAGGTAGTTTTATATGTGCTCATTACAGCAGATATGTTTAGACTCAAATATATAGCTTTTGAACCCCCATCATTTTGCTACCTTGCTTGAGTATTTATTTTTATCTTGGATTTCAGGTTATGCGTGATCCTAGTGGGATAAGCAGAGGATCTGGATTTGTTGCCTTTTCATCCGCGGAAGAAGCTTCCCGTGCTGTGAGTTGATATCTTACGATAAACTTATTGATGACATTTATTTAATTAATCTCTGAGCTGATTATGATCGTTATTGTCGTTCTAGCTTTCTGATATGAATGGGAAAATGGTGGTCAGCAAGCCACTCTATGTTGCGCTTGCACAGCGGAAAGAAGAACGAAGAGCAAGATTGCAGGTAAATTATATTTGAGATATATACATTTCGTTCTTCGAGTAGTAGTTGAAGAAAGAGACATTCATGCAATATGCCAGAGTGGGTCCAGCAGGATCCTTTGTTGGTGGTTGTTAAGTTCGGACAGCCAAATTTCGTACTTTTTTTTATTTTAGTTAGTACATCAATGATTAGTTTTTTTTTCTTCTAAAATTGGTTTCCTTTATGGAACACGAATGCTGAGTCAGAGTCATATAACGAGCTTGAATGTTGAGTCATAGTTAGTGTTCTAGTTTATATTATTTTCATTAGCTGACTACAATCTGTTTGCGAAAAGCAGGCTCAGTTTTCACAGATGAGACCTATTGCAATGGCACCATCAATTGCTCCTCGTATGCCAATGTATCCTCCTGGTGCTCCTGGAATTGGGCAGCAGATGTTTTATGGTCAAGGCCCTGCTATGATTCCTCCACAGGTGACAATTCTCCTTTGAGTTTAACCTCAATCCTGTAGCTATTTAATACTCTATTCATCTACTACAATTGCTCTAGAGTTGTTTGCGTAGATTCAAATATTGCATAAAATATTTGTCTCGTATCCCTGGCTGAATGTAATACTTTTGTTGATATTTAAATTCCAGGCTGGATTTGGTTATCAGCAGCAGCTTGTTCCTGGAATGCGTCCCGGTGGTGGTCCCCTGCCGAATTTTTTTATGCCGATGGTCCAACAGGGCCAGCAGGGGCCACGTCCGGGTGGCAGACGGGGATCTGGTCCTGTACAACAGACTCAGCAGCCTGTTCCGCTTATGCAGCAACAAGTCAGTTTTTTTTTTCTTTCTTTTTTTTCTGTTTTCCAGATTATTGTTTTCTTACTTTAGCAAACTTTACTTAAAATCGTGCTGAGTATCTATGATTTGTTATTATTTTGCAGATGGTACCAAGGGGTAGAATGTTCCGTTATCCTCAGGGTCGCGATGGGCCCATGCCAGGTGTCGGTGGAGGAATGCTTTCTGTTCCATACGACATGGGTAGTGGCATGCTTCCTCGTGATTCTGCTCCTATTCAACAACAGCAGCCTATGCCTATCACTGCTCTCGCTACCGCACTTGCTAATGCAACTTCTGACCAGCAGAGAACTGTAAGCACTAGTATAAATTCCACTTATCATTTAAGAACAAAAATCGTATAACGGCGTGCCTAATTTGCAATTTATGTGGTTAGATGTTGGGCGAGAACTTGTACCCACTAGTTGACCAGCTGGAGCACGAGCATGCTGCGAAAGTGACGGGTATGCTTTTGGAGATGGACCAGACGGAGGTTCTGCATTTGCTGGAATCGCCAGACGCTTTGAAAGCTAAGGTTAACGAAGCTATGGATGTCTTAAGGAATGTTCAGCAGCAAGCCAACGGCCCAGCCGACCAACTCGCCTCTCTGTCGCTCAATGACACCCTTGTCTCTTAGTGTTTTAAGATACGGCCATGTGGCCTATCTAAGACGACTTTTTTGCTAGTCAGGGTACTAAATTTTTGATAATATCTAGGTGGTTCTTGATTGAGAGATTCTTTTTATTTTTTTGCTTCCTGAATCGATTTTTGTTTCCTTTTGAATTTCTTAGATGCTTGCTGTTTTTTGATTATCTTGGAGTTCAGTTTATCGGATTATAATTTATTTCGGCAATGTTTGATTACCTTCTCATTTCAATTCGATTCTTTCCGTGATAGAGGATTCATTCTATTTGAGGGTCTGATTGAGTTTCAGTAAACCTACTAACAAAATTGAAATTGATAAAATGCATTTAGGATAAAGAACAACATTGTAGACCAAGCTAATCTTGAAAATTCTTGAATTAAGCGTAGGAAGAGAGAGTACATTGGGTGATGACAAACTTTCTGTGATTCACACCTTGGTTGGAATAGCCTCGAGGGGAACTGCCTTATGCAGCGAAAGTCCAAACTTCTCCTCCGTATCCAGTTTCACCCCCGCCTCGAGTTTCCAATCAAAGTTATGAATCAAAGAAGCCACCGTAAGATGCAGCATTCGATCAACCAGAGGCAAACCCGGGCACATCCTTCTCCCCGACCCAAACGGAATAAGCTCAAAATCTTGTCCCTTGAAGTCCACTTTGCTGTCCAGAAATCGTTCGGGCTCAAATGAATCTGGATTCGACCAAATGCTCGAATCTCTACCAATAGCCCAAACATTAACAAGTATCTGCGTGTCTTTGGGGATCGTATAGCCGTTGATTTCAACATCATCTTCTGCCTTGTGCGGTATTAAAAGCGGCCCCCCTGGGTGGTACCGAAATGTTTCTTTAACCAGAGCTCGTAAATATGGGAGTTTCGATATGTCGGATTCTTGGACTTGTTTGTTTTTGCCAATCAAAGTAGTTAGCTCATTTTTGGCATTGGCCATCTTTTCGGGGTTTAGAAGTAATTCCGTCATCGCCCATTCAACCGTGCTCGATGTTGTGTCTGTTCCTGCAACGAATAAGTCCTAATAAGAAAGAACAATTAGTGAGATTTCTTTGCAATTGTATCAAAATTAAGAGATCTAATTTGTTCTTTAGTTCTTACCACAAGTAGATGTTTGATATCTTTGCAAGTCAAATCGTAGTCGGTTCCTTGGCTGAGATCAAATAGTGTTTCTAGCAGATCATTTTTCCTTGAAGATCCAACGGTCCGCCTTGATTCCAATCTTTGATTGATTATGTCTTCAAACAACCCAAGCAGTTTCCCAAAGTAAAATTCAGCCTTCTTCTGAATACCTTGTGGATCGAACCGTTTGAAAATTGGGAAGAAATCGGCGAGATTTGGGGTACCTAAAATCTTCGCCACACCTTCAATTGTCTCCTTTAAATCCTGTGTAGCATCTGAATCGAAATCGGTGAAATCAACCGAGAAAAGTGTGGCCGACATTAGATTCAGCGAGGTTATGAACGCCGCCTCGCCGATGTTCACGGCTCGGCCATCTCCTCCTCCTCCTCCGCCGCCGCCGCAACAATTGCTCACGTAGTCGCACAGTTTCTGCAACTTCTCCCGCCGGAGTGCTTGGCTTTCGTCCAGGCGATGGGTGGAGAACATGTGTTCTCGGCATATTTTGCGTTTCTTCCGCCACTCGATTCCGGCTGGCAGGTAGGCGATCGAGATGTTGTGGTGGTCGTGGACTTGGGCGGCGGCGCCGATGATTCGGCCGGAGAAAACCTGGTCGTGCTTCTGCAGTACTTCTCTTGCGATTTCCGGCGACGACACGACGACTGTGTAAACACTTCCGAGATGGAGAGACATTAAAGGGCCGTAAGTTTTGGAGAGGTTGGCGAACGATTGGTGAGGATTCAGACCGAGCTGGGGAATATTGCCGACGATCGGAAACCTGTAAGGTCCTGGTGGAAGCTTGGCTGAGCTCGGCCGCCGCCGTGAATTTGACCGGAATACAAGAACCGCCGCCCAAAGCACGGTAAATAGAATAATCAAAAGAGTTATAAACCCCATTTCGTCTCTCTCACACACACACACACACGCACTGCACTCAAATTCTATATATACTAATTGAACGCATACAAATATACAACATTTATTCATTAATTAATTCAAAACTAAAAAAAATAAATTGATTCATGTGCACCATTTTTCATTTTCTTTTCTCTTAACCGGTAGCACGTTCCGGGGCTCACTCGCCGATGCCGCCAATTCCGTGTATTAAAATAATCGTGCTATACACGCGCCCAAGTGAATGGATTATTTATAAATTCTGCAGCAAAATTATTACAGTCTCGTTTGAGTTGAAGCGGGGGGAGGTTCATCTCATTGATTCATTCATTCATATAACCGTCTCCCATTAATGACGTCATATTTAGAATTATTACACGAATTTTGCAGAAAATATAATCAATGATCAAAGACTAATCCTCCTGAACATTCGAAGTTACCTGAATAGGACTCCTCACACTGTACTTACCTGTCTCGTCGGTCCAAGTGATCGAACCCGGCGTCGCCGGCGGGAAAAATCCCGCAAGATAACGAATCGACAAAGAATAACTCAACTTCTCGTACTTTTCTCGAAACACCAACGTCTTCGGCCTAACCCGAACCGTTGCATTCGATGGAGCTTCGACTTTAACTCTATAAGTGGCCCCGCCTTTCCCGACATTCGTAAGAGTCCTCTTGAACGACCTCGTTAATCTCCGCCCCGTTTGTGCAAACTCGTAAAGAGCTATAAAAGACGGGTAGTTCAGGTCGGGATACGGAGTCGAACAGTTGAAGTTGGATCTCGTGATTGTTTCTGTTTGCTCGCGGGTGAAATTCATGGAACAGACGAGATTCACGAGGTCTTGTGTGGAGGCATCGTAGATTAGGCCCGGATTGAGGGCCCGGTTCGGGTCGACCTGGCCCGACCCGATACCCGTGGGTACCGCGAGCATACGGTCCACTTCCTTGATTGGCTGGTTGGTGTTGTCGAGTGGATTGGCGGTTGTCATCATTGCGGATTGAATAGCCGCCGGAGACCAGTCGGGGTGGGCGGATTTGAGGAGGGCGGCAACTCCGGCGATGTGTGGGCAAGCCATTGATGTGCCGGACAAGAGAGTGTAGTCAGTTGACAGGTATAAGTTCTTGCCGATTCTTTCTGTAGGGTTCGCGTGAGGGCTGTAGGCTGCTAAGATCAGAACTCCCGGTGCCATAATATCGGGCTTTAGTATGGGTGGGTAGCTTCTTGCGGGGCCCCTCGAGGAGTCGTCGGAGAGTGCCGGAGCGGCGACCGGAGATTTTGCCCCGATGATTGTCTGTTGGAAAACTATGGTTGCTGTTGGTTCGGCGGTGTTGGATATGTAATCGATCACGTGTTGTGCTTCTGCGGGTGTGATTACGACTCCTGGGGCGGGGAATAGGGTTGATCGGAAAATGCGGATATCTTCGGAGATGATGATGGCTGCTCCGACGTTTTCTGCCCTCGATAGATACCCCATTGTGGAGTCGAAGTAGGAATTTTCGATTGTTAGATTGCACACGATTATGCTGCCGAACCGTGCTGATGCTAGTAGTTCGTCGGAGTTGCAGGCGGAGAACGTCTCGTTGTAGACGAGGGGGGTGTTTCTGAATATGGCTCTCGCCGGAAAAGTGGTCCACCCGGTGATGGTTTTCCCGTTTCCGAGAGTCAACGTCCCGGCGAACCACCGGTCGACGGTGCCCGACGCGACAACCACTGCCCACGGGATTCCGGATCTTAGAGTCGCGAAGGAGGGGCCGCGATTCCCGGCGGAGAGACAAACGACGATTCCCTTTTTTCTCGCGCCGAAACTGGCTATTGAGAGAGCGTTCTCGTACAGATTAGTGCTGCGGTCGCTTAGAGAAATGGACAGTATGTCGACCCCGTCGGCGACGGCCTGGTCGATTCCGGCGATTAGGTCGGAGGTGACCCCGCCGTCCCAGAGGACTTTGTACACCGCTATTCTGGCGCGTGGGGCCACCCCTCTCGCAGTTCCGGCCGCGTAGCCGAAGAACGAAACGCCGTCGACGTAGTTTCCGGCAGCGATGGAGGCAGTGTGCGTCCCGTGACCGTCTATGTCTCTAGCAGAATACATAGGTATCGCGACACCTGGATTCGCCGCTCGAAGTCCTTCACGGAAATATCTAGCTCCGATGATTTTCCTGTTGCACGACGAGGAATTGAACTCTTCGCCCTCTTCGCAGATACCCTTCCACCTTGTAGGTATTTCCGTCATTCCGTCGTCCCTAAAGCTCGGACTTTCGGGCCAAATGCCAGTGTCGATAACTCCGATTATGACATCTTTGCCGTAGTTGGAAGCCGGCCACAGACCGGTAGCGGAGTTGAGAGAGAGGAATTTAGACGAATGGGTGGTGTCTGCCGTGACAACACCATCTTCAAAAGCCGAAAGGAACCCCTGTGATTTCTTTACAGCTTCCAGTTCATCTTCAGACAACACCGCACTGAATCCATGGAAGGCATTGTCGTAAGTGTAGATAATCTTCGATTCGGGTTCGTCGAGTGATTTAGCAGATTTGAGCATGGAAGAATACCAATGGTGGTGGCTCGAAAATGCCTTTGGCATGGAGAATTTGTCCATGTGGACAATATATGTCGATCTTTCTGCCGACACATCATCGGCCAATAGAAATATCGAGACAAGAATTAGAGGAACCGCCATAACGAGAAGCTCCATTATTTTTTCACTCAGTGGTAGATGCTTCTAGACCAGTCTGCTATATAATAAATTTTATTACAAGGCAGCTACTTACTTTCTTTGCAATATTTCTAGTGACTGTAATAAGGTAGAAGAAACACCGACAAGAGGATTTATTGCAATGGCCCCATTTCCACCTTCCAAATCTAGCTACATGCAAGACTGTGTGTATTGAAAGCCACACATTTGAGTAAGTATATCTATATCTATATAGGATATGGATCAGTTTAAATATCCCATAAATTGAAGGGGTATGTACCCCCATGTGCAAGATACAGAATATATATTTATTAGGTGTATATTGAATTCAAACATCAAGTTGCTCCCCAACTGTAGATTTATTTGGATCCTCAGTAAAAAAACTTTTCACTCAGGCATTTCAACATACACCTTTGAGCAACAGTTTTTCGAATCGTGATTTAGAAGAAAACAAGTCGACCAATGATGGTGGCTGGAGAATGTTTTGGGCATGGAGGATTTGTCCACGTGGACAAAAATGTGGATCTTTTTGCTGAAGCATGTTGATATTTATGAGCCAATAGAAGCAATGTGAACAGAATCAGAGAAGCTACATTACTGGTAAGCTTCATTTTTTTGCAATCTGAATCTTTGGTGCATGGAGTTCTAATTAATAAGATGCAATGGAAAAAAAAAACTACACTAAAATAAAAAAAAAAAAAAAAAAAAAAAAAAAAAACCGGAACTAGGAGAAATTATCAGCTGCTGCCGAAACCATAATAGGACTTCTGACGGTGTACTTGCCACTCTGCTCGATCCAAGTAAGCGAGCCAGCCCTATGTAGTGTATCGATATCGGCATTATATCGAATCTTGACAATGTAGCTCAGTTTCTCGTTCTTCTTTTGGAAAACCAACGTATGCGGCCGAACTCTAACTGTAGTATTCGCCGGTACTTCGACCTTTACTCTGTACTTAGCTGCCCCATCTCCTACATTCGTCACCGTCCTCTTAAACCTCCGTGTCACAAACCTTCCGATATCCGCCGAGTGAGTAAGAGCCACGAAAGACGGATAGTTCAGATCGGACGAAGGATTCGAGCAGTTGTAGTTTGTCGACTTCACAATCGTTTGAGTTTGCTTGCGTGTGAAGTTCATGGAGCAAACAAGATTCACGAGGTCCTGTATGTTAGCATCGTAGATTAGGCCCGGGTTGAGCGCTCGGTTCGGGTCAACCTGCCCCGATCCGATGCCTAAAGGTGTGGCAACTGTACCATTAACTTCCCTGATTGGCTGATTCGTGTTATCAAGATGATTAGCAGTTGTCATCATCGCGGATTGAATAGCCGCCGGGGACCAATCGGGGTGCGCGGATTTGAGGAGGGCGGCAACTCCGGAAATGTGCGGGCAAGCCATGGATGTACCCGATAAGAGAGTGTAATCGCTCCACAAGTATATGTTGTTACCGATTGTCGGTGTGTCAGTTGCGTAAGGGCTGTAAGCTGCTAAAATCGAGACACCTGGCGCCATTAAGTCGGGCTTCAAGATGCCCTCGTAACTCATTCCGGGCCCTCTCGAAGAATCTTGCGATAGCGCTGGAGCAGCTCTCGTCCCATCCCCTAAAATCGTCAGTTGAAAATCGATGCTTGCTGTTGATAGGGAGCCGCCAGCTGCGTAGGCGATTACCTCTCGTGCTTCGTTTGGTGTGATCACAACTCCTGGAAAAGGGAAAGAGTTGTATCGGAATATACTTGGATCTTCGGCGATTACAATAACAGCTCGGACGCTAGAATTTTGTAGATTTTTCATCACACTATCGAAATCTGTGTTTCCGTTGGTGACATTGCATACTATGATGCTATCGTAAGGTGCCTGCGCCAGCTGAGCAGAGTTGCATGCGGATAAGCTTTTGCTATAGAAGACCTGCAAGTTTCTGATTGTGGCTCGTGCGGGAAATGTGGTCCACCCCGTGATGGATTTGCCGTTGCCGAGAGTCAACTTGCCGCCGAGCCATCTGTCGACGGTGCCAGATGCCACCACCACTGCCCAAGGGATTCCGGTTCGTACGGTACGAACATCCGGGCCCTCATTTCCTGCAGAGAGACAAACTACGATTCCCTTTTCCCTAGCGGCGAAGCTGGCTATGGAAAGAGGGTTCTCGTATAGTTCGAACTGGCGGCTGCCTAAAGAAATCGAGATTATATCAACTCCATCAGCCACTGCCTGGTCAATGCCCGCAAGTATGTCGGACGAAACGCCCCCGTACCACATGACCTTGTACACCGCCAGCCTGGCGCGTGGGGCCACCCCTCTGGCGATACCGTTGGCGTAGCCGAAGAAGGAGGCGCCGTGGACATAATTACCGGCGGCGATGGAGGCGACGTGGGTCCCGTGGCCCTCGTCGTCCCTGGCGGAGTTGGTGGGGATTTCAATAGACATAAATCCCGCTTGGTGCATCCCTCGGTTGAAGTATCGTGCCCCGATGATTTTCTTGTTGCACAACGACGAGTTGAATTCCTGGCCCGCCTGGCAGATGCCCTTCCATCTCGAGGGTACTTCGGTCATTCCCTCGTCGCTGAAGCTCCGGCTCTCCGGCCAAATCCCGGTGTCGATGACTCCGATGATCACGTCTTTGCCGGAGTTGGAAGCCGGCCACAGCCCCGTGGCGGAGTTGAGCGAAAGGAATTGGGTCGATCGAGTGGTGTGTGTCGTGATGACATCATCGGCGTAGGAAGAGATAAAACCCGGCGACTTCTTCAAAGCTTCCAACTCATCTTCAGACAACACCGCACTGAATCCATGGAAGGCATTGTCGTAAGTGTAGATAAGCTTCGATTCGGGTTCGTCGAGTGGTTTCCCGAAACTAAGCATCGACGAATACCAATGATGGTGGCTCGAAAAGGCCTTCGGCATGGAGGATTTGTCCATGTGGACAATGTATGTGGATCTTTTTGCTGAAGCATATTGATATTGATTAACCAATAGGAGCAAAGAGAACAGAAACAGAGAAACTACATTAGTAGTAAGCTCCATTTGTTTTGCAATCTGAATCTTGGGTTTTGACAAATAACTTAGGCAACAACCATTCTTGTTTTATAGTGAGATGAGTCCTAAAATAATGGCAAGAATTGGCGCCATTTGGAATTGGTCTCTGCTTTTTGCTCAAACTGCATTTATTGAGCTGGGATTAAATTAAATTAAATTAAATTATTAAATTATGTTTTTCTTGACTTTCTTGTTCTTCTAATTTCTGTTTTTTTCTGTAACTTAAAAAAAGGAAATCAAGTCCAAAGTAATACTGTGCAGTTATAATTCTTGAACCAGTCACATCCGGATGATATGGCTGAAGTGGTGGAACCACAAATTTTAATTAAAATAGGATTTTTTAACAGAAAATAACAATAAATAAATAAATATTTATTTATTTATAACGTTTAATTAAAATAGCATAAATCTTTAGAAAATTATACCCTACAGTAAAAGAAATAAAAACAATCAATTTATTAGCTGCCCAACTAGATATTTTTGGAATATTTGAATACTATGGTCGACATATCTTAATATATAAGATATTTCGTTATTTAATCTATAGTTATTCAATATTTATTGACTAGTAATTGTGTTAGTTCAGGATTTAGATTATGCAACTCATTTTTATTTAATTAATTAGTAAAAATAAATCAAATAAAGCAAGCTTGCATTAGTGTTGAAGAATTTGGATTTGAGTAGAATAATGAAAAGAAAAATCAAAATGACTGCCAATGATTCCATAAGTAGGTTAAACAAGAACCAATGAGCATCAAAATCCTCGAGTTCAAATGCCGTTATTTTTATCAGTACAGGTTTTCGTACATACATTACTTACATTGCCGATGAGTAACGAAACGATGAACTAACACACTATTAGCCGAAGTTATCGACTCCTGCAGAAACCACAATCGGACTTCTGACAACATGCTTGCCATTTTCCTCTACCCAAGTGAGTGAACCAAACGTCGGAAATGCATCAATATCACCTCTATAACGAACATTTAAAGAATAACTCTGCTTCTCGTATTTCTTTCGAAACACTAAAGTCTTGGGCGAAATTCTAACTCTCGTATTCTCCGTTTTTTCCAGCTTAACTCTGTACGTGGCTGCACCGTTCGCTACGTTCGCACCGTCCTGTGGAATGTCCGGTTAAAAGTCAACCCTCTTTCGTCGGAGTTAAAAAGTGCAATGAAAGACGGGTAATTCAGGTCCGAAGAAGGGCTCGAGCAGTTATAGCTCGATCTCGTGATTGTTTGCGTTTGCTCGCTGGTCAAATTCATGGAGCAAACAAGATCCACAAAGTCTTCTGTGGTCGCATCATATACGAGTCCCGGATCAAGCGCGCGATTGGGGTCCACCTGCCCCGATCCAATCCCTAGAGGGGTGGCGTTTCTGAAATCAGTAAATCCCAAGTCCTTGATTGGCTGATTGGTATTGTCAAGATGATTGGCAGTTGTCATCATTGCCGATTGAATAGCCGAAGGACTCCAATCGGGGTGCGCTGCTTTGAGAAGCGCAGCAACTCCGGCTATATGAGGACAAGCCATTGATGTGCCGGATAAGAGATTGTAATCCCTGGACAAGAATAAGGTCTTACCAATGATCGGTGCACTAATAGTAGTGTAAGGATTGTACGCTGCTAAGATTAGCTCTCCCGGTGCCATTATGTCGGGCTTCAATATGCGGTCGTAGCTTAATCCGGGCCCTCTAGATGAGAAATCCGATAGGGCTGGAGCAGCTCTCGGCTCAGTCCCTATAATCGTCTGTTGAAAGTCAATGCTCGCTGTTGGAGAGGTACTACTCGATGCGTAACTGACCACCTCCACCGATTGTGCCGGCGTTATTATAGCACCGGGAAATTGAAAATTATTGGATCGAAGTAAGCTCTTGTCTTCGGAAATAATAATAACTGCTCGGACATTGGAATCCGCCAGATAGCTCCACAGGAAAAAGAAGAACGGATCTTCTTCCGTCTTGTTACAGATGATTATGCTGCCGAATGGTGCTTTCGCCAATAATTCGGTTGAGTTGCAGGCAGACAATGTCTTGTTGTACACAAGGGGCAAGTTTCTGATTGCTGCTCTTGCGGGAAAAGTGGTCCACCCTGTGATGGCTTTCCCGTTCCCGAGGGTCACGGACCCACCGAACCACCGATCAACGGTTCCCGATGCAACCACCACAGCCCACGGTATTCCTGCTCGCACAGTAATGCCGCTAGGGCCGCGATTTCCTGCGGAGAAACAAACCAAGACCCCCTTCTCACGAGCACCAAAGGCAGCTATAGCCATAGGATTCTCGTACAGACTAGCCCGTCTGAAAGTAATCGAAATTGAAATTATATCTACACCGTCAGCCACCGCCTGGTCAATGCCTGCGAGTACATCCGATTCGTAGCCTCCGCCGAAAAGGACTTTATACGCCGCCAGCCTGGCGCGTGGGGCCACCCCTCTTGCGGTTCCAGGGGCGTAACCAAAGAAGGATACTCCGTCGACGTAATTACCGGCGGCAATGGAGGCAACATGGGTCCCGTGACCTTGGTCGTCCCTCGCAGTATCCGGGACAGGGTTTTCAGGGAATGCGGCTCGAGTACCTTGGTTGAAATATCTGACTCCGATGAGTTTCTTGTTGCACAACGACGAATTGAAATCTTGGCCTCCTTGGCAACTGCCTTTCCATCTTGGGGGTATTTCCGTCATGCCTTCATCCCTAAAGCTCGGACTCTCCGGCCAAATTCCGGTGTCCAGGATTCCGATGATCACATCTTTGCCGTAGTTGGATGCCGGCCACAACCCTGTAGCAGTATTGAGCGAGAGGAATTTATAGGAATGTGTGGTGTCTGTTGTGACAACACCATCTTCAAAAGCCGAAAGGAAACCCGGTGACTTCTTTAAAGCTTCCAATTCGTGTTTGTTCATCACCACACTGAATCCATGGAAGGCATTGTCGTAAGTGTAGATAATCTTCGGTTCAGATTCGTAGAGTGATTTAGCAGAATTGAGCATGGAAGAATACCAATGATGGTGGCTGGAGAATGCCTTGGGCATGGAGGATTTGTCCATATGGACAATATATGTCGATCTTTCTGCCGAAACATCACCAGCCAACAGAAAAATCGAGACAAGAATTAGAGCAGCTGCCATAACAAGAAGCTCCATTAATTTTTCACTCAGTGGTAGATGCTTCTAGACCATTCTGCTATATAATACATGTTATTACAAGGCAGCTACTGACTTTCTTTGCAGTATTTCTAGTGACTGTAATAAGGTAGAAGAAACACCGACAAGAGTGAAGATATTTTAAATGGTCCAAAAGATGAGGATTTATAGCTATGGCCCCATTCCCACCTTCCACATCTGCCTCTGTCTGTCTGTGTATCTACATTGGATAGGGATCCGTTTAACAGCCCATAAACTAAAGGGGTACGTACTCCCATTTCCATTTCCAATATATATAGATACATATTTCGACAAAAAAATGATTTCCATGCATCAAGTTGCTCATCTTCCAACTACCTATTACAGTAAACCTTTCTCTCAGGCATTTCGACAAACACCTTTCAGCAACTCGAATTTCAGGATGAAATAATTGCCATTTTCCTTTTTAACCGATAATTGGTGGCCACTTCGATCAAGTAGAGGGAAAATTTGGAAGTCCGGTTATTTAATTTTGGCATATTTTTTGAAATAAAATCAAATAACTAAAAATAAATACTCCATAATTAAAAAAATATATATTAGGATTTGAAATATAATTTTTTATTTATCATTAATTTTTAATATAATTTTCTTGTGATTTACAATTTTTAATATTAAAACTACCAATTAACAATAACGGTGACAACTGACACGTATAAATAAACCTTCAATTTTCGGGTCAATTAGCCCGGTTTATTTATTGTGCACGTGCACATAGCCCACATACAGATCGTTAAAACCCGACCGAAACAGCGGTTCCCGGAAACTGCGTGCTCTTCGCTCCTCCGATTTTCATTCTGACCGGCTTCTCTTTTGTAACGGTACGCCATTTTCGTGATTCTGTTTTCTTCAAGGAAAATATTTGTGTCTTCTTCTCTTTTGGTTGTGTTTCGCTGAGCTTCTTCATTGCATTTTCGCCTGAATATTAGTGTAATATCCAGAACTGATTCATGATTTGGAAAGAAATTAGGGTTTTTTTGTAAGCGAATTTTTATTTCTTAAAAAGTGCATTAGGTTATGAAATTAATCTACTAAATTTTTTGATGCTGGACATTTACTTGCTAGTGTTCATTTCTACTGCACAACACTTTTCCTATCCTGAGTCCTGACCTAGCCAATTTGAATAAATAACTTTGAAATATGGATGATTTGGTTTAAAATTAAGATATTGGTTTAAGAAAGATAAATAAGGTATTTATGCAAGTTTTATTATTTATTATTATTCAGAGGTTTCCAAGATGGACTTATATCATCACCAGTGACGGATGAACTAACATAGAATTAGCCGAAATTATCAGCTCCTCCAGAAACCACAATGGGGCTCCTGACCTTGTGCTTGCCAGTTTCCTCGACCCAAGTGAGTGAACCAAATGTCGGAAATGAATCAATATCGCCCCTGTAACGAATGTTTAAGGAATAACTCTGCTTCTCGTATTTCTTTTGAAACACTAATGTCTTTGGCTGAATTCTAACTCTGGTATTCGCAGGTTTTTCCAGCTTAACTTTATACGTGGCTGCACCATCTGCTACATTCGTCACCGTCCTGTGGAATGTCCGGTTAAACGTCATCCCTCTTTCGTCAAAGTTAAAAAGAGCAATGAAAGACGGGTAGTTCAGGTCGGAGGATGGGCTCGAGCAGTTGTAGGTTGATCTCGTGATTGTTTGAGTTTGCTCGCGGGTCAAATTCATCGAGCAAACAAGATTCACAAAGTCTTGTGGAGTAGCATCGTAGACTAGGCCTGGATCGAGCGCGCGATTAGGATCCACATGCCCTGATCCAATGCCTAGAGGCGTGGCGTTACTGTAATTAAACGCCATATCCTTGATTGGCTGATTGGTATTATCAAGATGATTGGCAGTGGTCATCATGGCCGATTGAATAGCCGAAGGACTCCAATCGGGGTGTGCTGCTTTGAGAAGCGCAGCAACTCCGGCAATATGAGGGCAAGCCATGGATGTGCCTGACAAGAGATTGTAATCACTCGACAAGAACACGTTCTTACCGATAACCGGTGCACTATTAATACTGTAAGGACTGTTCGCTGCTAAGATCAGCACTCCTGGTGCCATTATGTCGGGCTTCAATATCCGGTCATAGCTTAGTGCAGGCCCTCTAGATGACGAACCTGATAGGGCTGGAGCAGCTCTCGGCTCAGTCCCTATAATCGTTTGCTGAAAATCGATGCTTGCTGTTGGAGAGGTACTACTCGATGCGTACCTGACCACCTCCACTGATTGAGCTGGAGTGATTATAGCACCGGGAAATTGAAAATTATTGGATCGAAGTAAGCTTGTGTCATCGGAAATAACAATAACTGCTTGGACATTGGAATCCGCCAGATAGTTCCACAGGAAAAAGAAGAACGGATCTTCCTCCGTCTTGTTACAGATGATTATGCTGTTGAATGGTGCTTCCGCCAATAATTCGGTTGAGTTGCAGGCAGACAATGTCTCGTTGTACACAAGGGGCAAGTTTCTGATAGCTGCTCTTGCGGGAAAAGTGGTCCACCCTGTGATGGATTTCCCGTTCCCGAGGGTCACGGTCCCACCGAACCACCGATCAACAGTCCCCGATGCAACTTCGACAGCCCACGGCATTCCTCCTCGCACAGTAGCACCGCTAGGGCCGCCATTTCCTGCGGCGAAACAAACCAAGACCCCATGCTCACGAGCACCAAAGGCAGCTACAGCAATAGGGTTCTCGTAGAGACTGGCCCGCCGAAAAGTAATCGAAATTGAGACTATATCGACACCGTCAGCCACAGCTTGGTCGATTCCCGCGAGTACATCCGATTCGTAACCTCCGCCGAACAGGACTTTATACGCCGCCAGCCTGGCACGTGGGGCCACCCCTCGTGCAGTTCCAGGTGCGTAACCGAAGAACGAGACACCCTCGACGTAGTTTCCGGCGGCAGTTGAGGCGACGTGGGTCCCGTGACCATCGTCGTCCCTTGCTGAATCGGGGACAGGGGTTTCAGGAAATGCGGCTCGAGTACCTTGGTTGAAATATCTGACTCCGATGAGTTTCTTGTTGCACAAAGACGAATTGAAATCTTGGCCGCCTTGGCAAGTGCCCTTCCACTTTGCTGGGATAGCGGTCATGCCTTCATCACTAAAGCTCGGACTTTCCGGCCAAATTCCGCCGTCTAAGATTCCGATTATCACATCTTTGCCGTAGTTGGATGCCGGCCACAATCCCGAAGCAGTGTTGAGTGAGAGGAATTTATAGGAATGGGTAGTGGCTGCTGTGACGGCTCCATCTTCAAAAGCCGAAAGGAAACCCGGTGACTTCTTCAAAGCTTCCAATTCGTGTTTGTTCATCACCACACTGAATCCATGGAAGGCATTGTCGTAAGTGTAGATAATCTTCAACCCGCGTTCGTCGAGTGATTTAGCAGAATTGAGCATGGAAGAATACCAATGATGGTGGCTCGAAAATGCCTTTGGCATGGAGGATTTGTCCATGTGGACAATATATGTCGATCTTTCTGCCGAAACATCATCGGCCAATAGAAAAATCGAGACAAGAATTAGAGCAACTGCCATAAGAGGAAGCAGCTCCATTGTTTTTTCACTAATTAGATCTGAGTTGTGAATATGGTAGATTGGTTTAGACAAGTAGTTATTAGTACCATTCTGTTATATAAAGATATTTGCTGACTTTTCTTTGCTTTTGCCAACCAATTATTATACTTTTTTTTGTTTTTAAATTCAGTATATGTTGCTGTCATCTTGCCAGCGCAAGTTGATAATATTACAGGATAATGCAAAGGGGATAAAGAAAAATCCTTGTATCATTTTCAATTACTGTATGTACCACGTACATGATTGGTTTGTATAGGTGCATTAGATTTTATTTGGACCATGCATATTTCCAAGTACCTATTACTGTAAAACCTCTCTCTCAGACATTTCAACATACACCTTTCAGCAGCAGTGGCTTGAATTGACTACGAAATAATCGCAACATTCATCTCTAAATACATGTTCGTCTTACACGTAAATGCGAATCCTTGAAACATTTGTCGTTCCATCATCAATCAAGTTTAGCTTAAACTTTATTTAACCAATAAGAACTTCACTTTTTAGCGAAGTACCCCTAAAAACTCACTTCTAACAGCGCAATTTGTTTTCATTTTTTTTTTTTTTTAATTTGAAGAAAGTGAAATATACATTTCGTTGGAATCGAAGTAAGTGAAGAAGAGTGTCAGGTTCTTCAAAAAATCGCGAGTTCATTATAGCGTGATTCTTTGATTCTGTAGAAGCGCTGTTGTTTATCGATTCTGGGTTCCAACATTAATCTTGCAGCACACACGATATGCTAATGTTCGTGCCATCTGGTATTTGCATTTCTGTTTCTCAAGATTCATGCACTCAAGATGTTTGATTTTTGTCCCAAAAGAACTCCTCTCAAGTCTCAATCTTTCTCCTCCTTTTTTTTTGTCTTTCCAATTCACCTTATGTCCATTAGTTACGTTAACAAATCCATTTTTCTTGTTCCAGCAGACTCTACTCAGTAAATATCTTTCTTTTTTTTTCTTTTGAAGTTACTAAGCAAGCATGCCATTTTTCTACGTTAGCCAGGAATTCAAACAATGTCACGTTGTATCTCCAAAGGCCAAAGCTGATTGATTCAATGAAGCTGTGTACCCGTTTAAATGCACCCGAAAGCTCTCCTGTTAACATCTTTAACAATCCTTCAATGGACTCGTTTGTTGTGATCAATGCACTTCGGTCAGCTCCCTCGCCCATCGCAGCCCTCTGTTTGATCGAAAATCTAAAAAAGATAAAAGATTTTCCTCATTCCGAAGACACCCTCTATGCACTGGCCAAGATTCTTGCTAAATCCGGAAAAACTAGTAAACTCAGAGCATTGATCGATGCCATCAATAATAGTGGCAAGTTTGTAAATGTGGCGTATGTCAGTTTCTTGGATCGGGTGAAGTGGAATGCAGGGTGTTTGGGAAGAGTGGAGAAGAGCCTTGGACAAGCTCCCATGTAACTGCATCCTATAATATAGTAATGAAACTTTGTGTTGAGAAGGGCATGGAAGAAATGGCAATAAATGTATTCTGCAGGATGATCGATGGATGGGAGCTCTCGAATTGTAGAATCTACATTATTATTATCCAGCACCTGATTAAGTTTGAGAAATTATATTCGGCTATGAAACTATTTCAAATGCTACCATTGATGCGATTTCGTCGTACATCAAAGAAGTATTATTCATTGGTCGAAGTTTTTACAGACTCCGACAATGTAAATGTTGCGAAGACTTTACTTAACGAGATGCGAGCTGACTGGACATTAAAACATTCTCCCACTATGCAATGCCATTATTATTATTAATTTTAGAGGTTTCCAAAGATCGACTTATATCATGACTAGCGAGTAGCGAGTAGCGACAGATGAGCTAACATAGAATTAACCGAAATTATCAACTCCTCCAGAAACCACGATGGGGCTCCTGACCACGTGCTTGCCAGTTTCCTCAACCCAAGTGAGTGAACCATGCCTCGGAAATGCATTATTATCACCCCTGTAACGGATGTTTAAGGAATAACTTTGCTTCTCGTATTTCTTTTGAAACACTAATGTCTTTGGCTGAATTCTAACTCTGGTATTCGCAGGTTTTTCCAGCTTAACTTTATACGTGGCTGCACCATCTGCTACATTCGTCACCGTCCTGTGGAATGTCCGGTTAAACGTCATCCCTATTTCGTCGTTGTTAAAAAGAGCAATGAAAGACGGGTAATTCAGGTCGGAGGATGGGCTCGAGCAGTTATAGCTTGTTCTGGTGATTGTTTGAGTTTGCTCCCGAGTGAAATTCCTGGAGCAAACAAGATTCACAAAGTCTTGTGGGGATGCATCGTAGACTAGGCCTGGATCAAGCGCGCGATTGGGATCCACCTGCCCCGATCCAATGCCTAGAGGCGTGGCGTTTCTGTAATTAGATGCCGAGTCCTTGATTGGCTGATTGGTACTATCAAGATGATTGGCAGTGGTCATCATTGCCGATTGAATAGCCGAAGGACTCCAATCGGGGTGTGCTGCTTTGAGAAGCGCAGCAACTCCGGCAATATGAGGGCAAGCCATGGATGTGCCTGACAAGAGATTGTAATCACTCGACAAGTACACGTTCTTACCGATAATCGGTGCACTATTAATACTGTAAGGATTGTACGCTGCTAAGATCAGCGCTCCTGGTGCCATTATGTCGGGCTTCAATATCCGGTCATAGCTTAGTGCAGGCCCTCTAGATGAGAAATCCGATAATGCTGGAGCAGCTCTCGACTCAGTCCCTATAATCGTCTGCTGAAAATCGATGCTTGCTGTTGGAGAGGTACTACTTGATGCGTAACTGACCACCTCCACTGATTGAGCCGGAGTGATCATAGCACCGGGAAATTGAAAATTATTGGATCGAAGTAATCTGATGTCTTCGGAAATAATAATAACTGCTCGGACATGGGACTCCGCCAGATAGTCCCACAGGCCAGAGAAAGCTATATCTTCCTCTGTCTTGTTGCAGATGATTATGCTGCTGAATGGTGCTTCCGCCAATAATTCAGTTGAGTTGCAGGCAGACAATATCTCATTGTAAACCAGAGGCAAGTTTCTGATTGGTGTTCTTGTAGGAAAAGTGGTCCACCCTGTGATGGATTTCCCATTGCCGAGGGTCACGGTCCCACTGAACCAACGATCAACGGTTCCTGCTCCGACCACCACGGCCCAGGGTATTCCTGTTCGAACAGTAGCGCCGCTTGGGCCGCGATTTCCTGCGGAGAAACAAACCAAGACCCCCTTCTCACGAGCACCAAAGGAAGCTACAGCGATAGGGTTCTCGTACCAACTAGTCCCTGGGGTACCTAACGAAATTGAAATTATATCGACCCCATCAGCCACTGCCTGATCCATGCCCGCTAGTACATCCGATTCATAGCCGCTACCAAACGCGACCTTATACACCGCCAGCCTGGCACGTGGAGCCACCCCTCGTGCAGTACCGGGTGCGTAACCGAAGAACGAGACACCATCGACGTAGTTTCCGGCGGCAGTTGAGGCGACGTGGGTCCCGTGACCATCATTGTCCCTTGCAGAATCCGGGACAGGTGTTTCAGGTTGTGCGGCTCGAGTACCTTGATTGAAATATCTGACTCCGATGAGTTTCTTGTTGCACAACGACGAATTGAAATCTTGGCCGCCTTGGCAACTGCCCTTCCACTTTGCTGGGATTGCAGTCATGCCTTCATCCCTAAAGCTGGGACTCTCCGGCCAAATTCCGGTGTCCAGGATTCCGATTATCACATCTTTGCCGTAGTTGGATGCCGGCCACAACCCTGTAGCAGTATTGAGAGATAGGAATTTATAGGAATGTGTGGTGTCAGCTGTGACAACACCATCTTCAAAAGCCGAAAGGAAACCGGGTGACTTCTTTAAAGCTTCCAATTCGTGTTTGTTCATCACCGCACTGAATCCATGGAAGGCATTGTCGTAAGTGTAGATAATCTTCGATTCAGATTCGTCGATTGATTTAACAGATTTGAGCATGGAAGAATACCAATGATGGTGGCTGGAGAATGCCTTGGGCATGGAGGATTTGTCCACATGGACAATATATGTGGATCTTTCTGCCAACACATCACCGGCCAACAGAAAAATCGAGACAAGAATTAGAGCAGCTGCCATAAGAGGAAGCTCCATTGTTTTTGCACTAACTCTGAGTTGTGAATATGGTAGTTATTATTACCGTTGTGCTATATAAAGATATTAGTAGCTTGCCTGGACAGTAAGCATTGACGGCTGCTGACTTTTCTTTACTTTTGCCAACCAATTATTATATTTTTTTTGTCTTTAAACTCTGTTGTCATCTCTGCCAGGGGAAGTTTATAATATTGCAAGATACTACAAAGAGTTGCATTTATTGTATAAATAAATAATAAACTTCAATTATTATTGTATTTGTGAGTGTAGTGACGTGTCACACTCACAGTAAAAAAAATGTATAGTTGCACGATTACCAGCCACCGTTCGCTCACCACCGACATCATCGGTACAATCGAAACAACGAGACGAGAAACAGAGCAGCTGCGATAACAAGGAGCTCCATTCTTTATGAAAGTGGTACATTTTCTTAGACCATTCTGCCATATAATATTATTACCATGCAGCTACTGACTTTTCTTTGCAATCTTCTTAGTCACTGTAATAAGGTTAGAAGAAAGACCAAAAGATGAAGATTTATTGCAATGGCCCCATATCCCACCTTCCAAATCTGCCTCTATGCAAGACTGTGTATTGAAAGCCACACATTTGAGTAAGTATATATATCTATATCGGATAAGGATCAGTTTATTTGAACACTACATATCTTCCAATGAACTATTACAGCAAAACTTTTTTTTCTGTCAGACATTTCAACAAACACCTTTCAGCAGCATTCATTGTATAATTTTCAACTTCTTTTTTTTTTGTTATTTTGCTCAATTAATAAAAAATATCGAAACCATATTTGGATAAAGTACTTCTTGATTACTTACGAATAAAAATCTTCTATACTTTGTATTTTGAGTGTTAAAATTCATAAAAAAATGATTTGAATATTTCATCTATTTTTATGGGGAAAAAATAAAGTGTGCTGTAATATTTTTTGTGATTTAGATAAACTATTTTTTGATAAGTTAAAATTCTTAGGGGACTTTACAAATAAGCCCATTAATGGGTACTTATTTTTAAAGAGATCAAGACAAAAAACTTTTTTACCAATAAGTCCACACATGGTCCAGATTTTTGTAAAAGACTAAAATAACCCCTCATACTTTAATATGCTCCAATTTCATCCGTAACTTAATTTAACTTCAATTTGACCCCAAATTTTACAAATTATTCAATTTTGACCCAAAACCATTTTTTATTCGAAAACTTTTTTTTCCCGCCGGATTCCGGCGATGACCGGCGGTCAACGCCGGTCTCCGGCGTTGACTTTTTCAACCTTTTTTTTTTCTTTCTTTCTTCCGGATTTTTTCGCCGGATTCCGGTGTTGACCGGCGGTCAACACCGGTCTCCGGCGTTGACTTTTTTTTTTCTTTTTTTTTTTTTCTGTAACTTTTTTTTTCCGTTTAAACAACAATATTGTTGTGATTGACAGTAATATAAACTATCTTACTGTTAAACACAGTAAAATTAACTAAACTATAGTTTAACACAATAATATTGCTATATTAATCTCTAGCACATTAATATTAACACAACAAAACTCATTATTATTGTGTAATAAAGTAATATTACTATGTTGACCGTTCAACAAATGCAAACATAATAAAAATAACTCAAACAAACAAAAAATACAAACAAAATAATAATATTGATGTGGTTGACAACAATATTACTATAACAACAGTAATATTACCGTCATATACAGTAATATTATTACGTTACTCCGTGAATAACTCAAACAAACAAAAAATACAAACAAAATAATAATATTGATGTGGTTGACAAAAACCCCAAAAAAATAATAATATTGATGTTGTTGACAGTAATATTATTGTGTTTACAGTTATTTTACTGTCAACGACAGTAATATAATTACGTTGACTTGTCAACAAATCAAACAAAATAAAAAAAAAACAATAAAAAATAAAAAATAATAATATTACATTAATTTACTGTCAACGGCGGCACAATTACATAAATGTAATGTCAACGGCAGTACAATTACGTCAATTAACTATCATTGACAGTATAATTACGTTAATTTACTGTCAGTGACAGCACAATTACAGTCAACGTTTAGCGGCGAACGTGGAAAAACAAAACAAACCAAAAAAAAAAAAACTTAAAAAAACACTAAAAAAAGTCAACGCCGGAGAGCGCCGGAAACCGGCGAAAAAATCCGGAAGAAAAGAAAAAAAAAAAAAAAAAAAAAAGGCAACGCCGGGATCCGGCGGCAAAAAAAAAATTTGAAAAAAAAATATGTTTGTGAAAAAAAAAAATTGGGTCAAAATTGAATAATTTGTGAAATTTGGGGTCAAATTGAGATTAAATTAAGTTAAAGGATGAAATTGGAGCATATTAAAATATGCTCCAAAAAAAAGTCAAAATTGAATTTTTGTGGTCAAAATTGGATTTTTGTGGACAAAATTGATTAAATTGGGGTTACAATTAAGAATTGGGTATAAATGGTTGAAGGTAATATTGGGATATACATGAGTGTTTCATTTATTTATAATAAATATTAAAGTGATGGGCTTATTGGCGAAAGAGATATGTCCCCTAAACCTAGAATAATAAACATGTTTGGTTGGGGACTTTATCACAAAAACCCCAAATTCTTATATACTATATATTTGCAAGTCAAGAAAATATTAAAATAATATGAACATTTCAGTTAATTGTCGCAAATATACAATTTTTTTGTGATTTTCAACAAATAAAAAATTAGTGAAATCTTTTTTGCACTAATAATTTCTTGGCTGCTCATGAGTAACATTTTATATACTACATATTTGAGTATTAAAAATAATTTGAATATTTCAGCTATGTTGGCAAAAAACTTGTGCGAGAATATGATTTTTCGTTATGTTGCTCGACTGATAAAAAAATAGTGAAGTAAATTTTAGATGAACCATTTTTTAATGCTTATGGATAAAAGTTTTGTATACTTTATATTCGAGAGTTAAATAGTGTTGGAAAAATATATGGGCATTTCAGCTAATTTTACAAAAATCATCTAAAAAAAAAAAAGAAGAAGCAGCTAATTTTACAAAAAGCGTGTTATATGA